CAACACTCCAATGCAGAAACTACAGAACGCAAACCACCCAAAACAAAAAAACCAACAAAAAAACTTCCCAACTTTCTGCTGGTGGCATCAGACTCAGACGATGAAAATGAATATGTGTCGCTCCGCACTGCTTTGCATCATTATCAAGCAGAACCTGTCATCGGCATGGACACATGTCCTCTGGAAGGATAGTTGAAGCATGAAGGGACATATGAATCTTTAGAGCATCTGGCACGTAAATATCTTGCGATGCCGGCTACAACTGTGTCATGAAAACACCTGTGGTCACTTTCAGGTAACATTGTAAACAAGAAGCGGACAGCATTATCTCCTGCAAATGTAAACAAACTTGTTCGTCTAAGCGAATGACTGAACAAGAAGTAGGACTGAGTGAACATGCAGGCTCTAAAATTTTACATTGTTTTATTTTTGAGTGCAGTTATTTTTTTTCTACATAATTCTACATTTGTAAATTCAACTTTCGTGATAAAGGGATTGCACTACATTATTCGTATTAAGTGAATTGAAAAACACTATTTCTTTTGTTTTTTACTGTACACATTTGTAATAAAAAATAGTATAAAGTGAGCACTTTACACTTTGTATTCTATGTGGCAATTGAAATCAATATATTTGAAAATGTAGAAAACATCCCAAAATATTTAAATAAATGATATTCTATTATTTTTTAATCGCGCGATTAATCGCGATTAATTTTTTTAATCATTTGACAGCCCTAATTATGGCACTAAACTGATCTTGATGTTCCTGTGGTAAATGGTCAATAACAGCATTAAACTTCTGGTTATTCAGGAAGTCATATTTCAACATTAGCGTTTTGTGATTTGCAATCCTAATATGTAATGTCACCAAAGAGGCGCTTTTATGATCAAAATAGTCCAGACACTTCTGATCCTTGTTATATGGGGTAGCTTTAGGAATATGCGGTCTACACCTTTCATTAACTGTGTCCATGACCAGATAATTTGATGTCAGGTGTAAAAACAAAAACTCGGGATCCCTGGCCCAGGTGTAGTATTTTTTAATTGGCACTCTTGCAGGTAGGGTGTGCTGCTGCTGGAATTTGGCCCTATGGTCTTGGCTGGCTCAAGGAGAGCTTCATTAAACTGGTAGTGCCACCAGCGCTGAAGTAGAAGTATGTAATATGTCCAGAAGCTAGTGATGGGAATCCTGGATTTCTTCCAGGGGAATTTGAAGTGTGTTCACCATCTGCTTCAGCAGGTCCTGGAACTGCTGAAAGTCATCAGCTAATGGTAATGATGGAAGCATTACTGCCTAATCAGGCAATGAAGAAGAGGAGATATTTGTATGGTGGGTGACCTCCTTGTCCACCTTCGCCACTTGCTCCACAAAGGTCTCCTCTGCTGATTCAGCATAGAGGGGAGGGATGGAAGGTACTGGAAAATGAGGTCTTCTATGCTCCTTATGTGACTGAATCAGGAACCCTGAAAACTGCAGATAGTATACTGCCCATGGGTCCCAATAAGGCCAAAGAGGAGGCCCATAAGGCATGGGGGGAGGTAGCCATTGCTGATGATCCCAAGTATTAATAGGCAGAGAACTTGTATTCTTCCTTCCTTCCATCTGCAGAGAACAACATCTCCTTGAGCAAATACTATTATTTCAGCAAATAAACTGGAAAGCCTTGAACTGAAAGCTCTGAGTCTGACTACGAATGCTCTTCTACATATTGTAAAAGAAGTTACAACAGTTCTTTCTGAATGGTAGAAATTGGGAAGTAGTGCATCTGAATACATCATGCACAGCTGGTGACTGAGCAGCTCTCGGTACCGAAAGATGTCCGGAAGTCGCAAGGAGGGGAGACTCAGGAGGGTACCGGAACTCCTGTGGTACCTGGAGCACAATCGAACATGGTACAGGCACTGAAGTTGTTTTCAATGTCACTGTCCGAGTTGTTGATCATGGGTCTGAGGGTACTGCAGATTCCAGTGAGGCTACTCTCTTACTAGCATAGGCTCTGATGGCAGCCACACTAATAGTCTTTGATACCATACCCTTTGTCGGCAAGGTATGGGACTTAGATGAAGTCTTAGAGTGCTTCATGGTACCCAAAGTACTTGGCGCCTCAACAGCACTCCTCACAGGGCCCTGAGGTCTCTGGTTCCTGAATCTTCTTTGAGAAAGAACTTCCCGTTCTCCTTCACTTACCTGCCCCCCTCCTTAGTCTTTGAGTGGTAAACTCTTGGTACCAATGAAGCAATTATAGGTACCTTGCTAATGGAGAGTGTCAGAGACCAGGATCTCAACGCTGCCTTCACCTTGGAAGCTCTCGTGATCATGATCTCGATGTAGACAGGACATTAACGGAAGCAAAGGGCTCCTGTTTAGGGGGTTTCCTGTCCCCAGCTCCGAAGTCAGTCTTAAGGCTTTCTCCATCACTAACACATTATACTTAAATCTCCCTGTTTTTGTGGAATCTTCCCTTAAAACAAGTGCAAATATTCCACTTGCTGGGGATATGTGAGTCTCCCAAGCAATATGCTGAAAATGCTCATCGCTGACGGGAATCACTTTTCAACAGGAGAGGCACGTTTTAAAATCTGGTGAGCCTGGCATCCCAGATACAAGAAAAAAAACCTGACACCTCAGTAAGGGAAAAAACAAAAACAAAATTTCCCCAAGAAAAAGGGAATAACAGTTCCAACAACTATAAAGTACTAAGAATCCTACCAACTAACTAAAGAACTAACACTATATACTACATTCTAACTCTAAAGAGGAAAACAGGCAAACACTAAACTCTCTCTGTTCAAATGTGATTGAGAAAGAACTTAAGGCTGTTTACCCAGGTTGCGCTACATTGCCTTGGGACAGGGCACGGAGATGTGACGGATGCATGTGCAGGCTGAACAGGCAATGCTACCAAAAATTTCGGATCAAATTTTTCCATGGGTGAAATTTAAAAAAAAAGTAGGGAGAAGTATGGATAAATGTGGAATTCTCACAAACCTACAGAAAGTTTAAGCCACTGAAATCATTGGTTTAATGGTGTGATGCTCCCAGATAGATTTTTGTGAAAAATAAAGTTACTTTTAAACATTTTTCCCCACATCTAGATAGAAGATAAAACAACAACTCTGCTGGAGTTTAGACAAGTAGATGAATATATTATTTAAAGTAAAAACTTGAGAAAAAAGTTTTAAGTTTTAAAAATAAATTATACTTTGTTTTAAAGTATATTGAATCATGTCATTTACGATATCAAAAGTTTGCTGAAGCTTTGTGCATTGAGAATTTTACAAAATGCACAGGTTCGTTTTTTTAATATATAAACATGAAGGTTCAACCAATACATGGTATTTGTCTTCACTTTCATTATGATATATAGTTTATTTATGTTCATAAAAACTGTACAGTTCAAAGGCACTCATGAAATAGCTCAACTTTAAAACCGAGCCCTTAGTTCCCAACAATAATTTTTCAAGTCACTGCAAAAGTGGGTCTGTTATATCTCCTCTATATAGCAACATCAAGTGCAGATGCAAGGCAAATTCTCCAAATCTCTCCTCCTGATTAAACCAAATTTCTCATCTTTCTTCCCAAGCCCTCCCTTCTCCAACACTGCGTAAATTTTTAATCTCTTTTGACACCAAAGCTTGAAAACTCGGTCATATTTGACTTTTCTCTCCTTCTTCCACATCCAAGCATTTGCCAAATCCTAGTGGTTCTTTCTTTACAACATCTCCAAGATTTACTCTTCTCTCTTTATTGCTACTTCTGATCCTGTCCTGCCATAGGTTATCTCTTGCCTCAACTATTCAACCCACCTCTCTTCTTACAATACTGATTGTCACTTTGGTTTTCTTCAGTCTATACATAATTAAATTTCTAAAAGTATTTTCCTCCTCTGTTACTCAGACCACATTGCCCCCAGTTTGAGTCCCTTCACTGGCTACCACTTGCCTTTCACATCAAGTTGAAGATTGTGTTCCTAACTTACAAGGCCCTGCAAAAATCCACTCCTCCTGACAAATCAGCACTTTTTCCTGTTCATCTTCTCATGTACACTGCCTTGCTCAAGTTTCTAATCTACACATACTCTTCATCTCCTCCTATCACTTATTACTGTACCTTATTCCATGCTACTCCTAACCTTGGAAAACACTTCCTAACCGTATACACTGAGGAATAACGACACCTATCATTTAAAAACCTTTATTAAAACTCATTTATTTTGCAAACCCTAACACTAACCTTTTAAAGATAGCTGTTCATAAATACGTAAAAGAACAATGTAACAAAAAAGCAAGCGAACGAACACCTTTTACGTCTCTCTTCCCCTTGGGCCCCCAAGAGATGTTGTTTCTCTGCTTTTATTCACCATTATCCTTCCCACCTCTTTGTCTATTGTCCTTTCTCTGCAATGTCTGTCTATCTATTGATTGTAAACTGCTCCCAGCAGAGATCATCACTTGCAAAGCAACATATACACCTCAGGCAAAAATCTTTTGTTACAAATTTTTTAAAAATATACTACTCTCAACCTGATTTCATCAAAATCCTTCAAATTTGCAATAAGGAAATCCTGTAAGATTATGTATGTTCTATATTTTATTGAATTAAAACCCAAACAGTGACACTGTAAATGCCTGGATCAAAAAGCACTATGAACCCACAACATACTAAGTCCCATACTAACAGTGGGAGGAATTTAAAAAAAACCCACTATTTTCAGTATCACAAAACGTTACCTGTATATTTGCAGTTTCCCCACAGAAACCATACAGAAGCAAACAGAACATTGTCAGTACTGAGGTAGACTTGTTTATCTAAGGAAATGTGACCAAAAATGACGTTTAACTCAGGATGGAATTGTGTTATACGAATATTAGATGTTAAAAATGTTCAGGTTGCAGTTCACAAAACACACTATTCACTTGCTATTGCAACAAAGTATACCCATCTATATTTACTTTAGCATTAATCTCAGTACTGGAAATACTGAAAACAAACCATACCTTCTTTATCAGGTTCAATATCTTTAGTCTCAATGTCTGTGCTGCTCACTGGTGTCTTTTCATTATTGCTGTATTGTGGTACTTCAGTATTAGACTGTTTCACCAAATCAGCTCCCTGATTTTCACCAGAAGCTTCTGTTTTTTCCTTTGGCTGATCTTCAGACACAGCTTTTTGCTCATTACGAGGCACATCATCATTGTCACATGCTGAAACATCAACTGGTTCTGCTTTACCATTCTGACATTCTGGAACAGGTATCCCCTCTAAGCTGTGTGCAGATGCCTCACCATTCACGCAGTCCCACTTAGATGGAGACTCCTTCCTTGATTCCTTTTCAGCATTCACAGTAAGACTGTCATTTACTAACAGGGATTCATTTGAACTCTCTTCTTCTGTTGATGCGAAACTGTTTTCTTTTCCTATTGTCCCATTGTTAAGTCTCTGTTCTGCATCTATATCCATGATATCACAAGAGGACTCATCATTTGTCATAGACAGATCTCCCATTTCCTCTCCATTCTCCTCAATGCAGTCTGTGCTGATTTCCAGTTCCCCATTCTCCAGCAGCTTCCTGCCCTCCCCATGATTTTCATCATAGGCAAATTTTGCATCATCTTCATCTTTCTTCAAATTGACTTTTCTCTTTTTAATAATGCCTTTACCCCACTGCGAACGTCGTCTTGATTTCCTCCTTATTCGAACTGAATTGGAAGAGACAGAAAACATGTCACTTTTAAATGCACATACATCTGCAACACATGGGTTAAGATAATGGACTACATACTAACGGACACCCACCATTCTCAAACTTTCCACAGTGGGGGATTTTCGAATTAGCATTGAGCTAATTCTGCTCCCACTGAAATCAACAGCAAAACGAACTCCCACTGGCTTCAATGAGAGCAGAGTCAGGCCAATGCTGACAACTTCTGAAAGTCCCACCCATCGTGGATATTTTACACTAGCCAAGTATGCAGGAAGCTTTAATTAAATTAATCTGTAAGGCCACTCCTCTTTCCTTCTTCACATTCCTCATGAAAACCTACTTCTATTTAGACCACTAAACATCAGACAGACAATTATAGATGTGGGATGCAGAATTTGAGAAAAGACAATTTTACTTCACTTTTTTTTTTTTTTTAAATCTTCAGATGACTTGGAACTATTATGTTGTGCAAGAATTAAGCTGCATAACCCCATGACCTTATTTTCATTACCCGTGTCCTCCCTCCTACTGTATGCTTTGTTTCAAGTCAGATTACATACTGTCTGGGATGTGGCAGTGTCTTCTACGTGTGTATATGCATTGTCTAGGACAGCGGAACCCCAATCTCAAAAGGGGTTTTTGGTTATGTTCCTAACCTAAACTTCAAACAATAGCTCAGGAAGAGTATTCACCTGTAATGTCGAATTTCAGTGTATCTTGTAAGAGCACAGATGATGAGAAAAAGTGTATTTTAGTAGATTGAGCAAAAGACAGGTAGATGGGAACTCCTGGATTCCAATTTCTGCTATGATACAGATTACTTATGCTCTTTGGCAAGTTATAACCACTTTGCAAGAGCTTTTCCATCTAAAAATGGAGGCTGCTATACTTAAAGTGGTCACATTGTTTTCTCTGGAGAGATACTGCCAGCACAAATCAGTATTAACGGGAAGCTCTCTCAAAGTGACCATCTTTCAAAATGAAAGAAACTAAGTCCATTAACTATACCTACCCACCTCACCGGGTCAGTTATGAAAATCAGTGTTCATAAAGTTGCTCTGAAGATGCTAGTACCATGTGAGTGCTGCGCATTAAATGACAAGAGGTCAGAGAAACATAACTAAATGTAATGTTGAGAAAGTCTTCCCTGAAAGTGCCACTTAATCTGATAATGTAACTAGTTTCAAGCCTTTACTAACTACAACATTAATAAAAAATGTCATTAACTTTTTAGTTTAAAAAGTTCTTAAAAGGACACATTCACCTTGAAAATCATAAGTTAGGAAAGTGGATTGGACTGAAGAACTTGTGGATCTAAAGGCAGAGGAGGCCTGGAATAACTTCAAGTCAAAGTTGCAGAAACTATCAGAAGCCTGCATCCCAAGAAAGGGGAAAAAATTCATAGGCAGGAATTGTAGACCAAGCTGGATGAGCAAGAATCTCAGAGAGGTGATTAAGAAAAAGCAGAAAGCCGACAAGGAGTGGAAGATGGGAATGATCAGCAAGGAAAGCTACCTTATTGAGGTCAGAACATGTAGGGATAAAGTGAGAAAGGCCAAAAGCCATGTAGAGTTGGACCTTGCAAAGGGAATTAAAACCAATAGTAAAAGGTTCTAGAGCCATATAAATAAGAAGAAAACAAAGAAAGAAGTGGGACCACTAAACACTGAGGATGGAGTGGAGGTTAAGGATAATCTAGGCATGGCCCAATATCTAAACAAATAGTTTGCCTCAGTCTTTAATGAGGCTAATGAGTAGCTTAGGGATAATGGTAGGATGACAAATGGGAATGAGGATATGGAGGTAGATATTACCACATCTGAGGTAGAAGCCAAACTTGAACAGCTTAATGGGACTAAATCGGGGAGCCCAGATAATCTTCATCCAAGAATATTAAAGGAACTGGCACATGAAATTGCAAGCCCATTAGCAAGAATTTTTAATGAATTTGTAAACTCAGGGGTTGTACCGTATGACTGGAGAATTGCCAACATAGTTCCTATTTTTAAGAAAGGGGGGAAAAAAGTGATCCGAGTAACTACAGGCCTGTTAGTTTGACATCTGTAGCATGCAAGGTCTGGGAAAAAAATTTGAAGGAGAAAGTAGTTAAGGACATTGAGGTCAATGGTAAATGGGACAAAATACAACATGGTTTTACAAAAGGTAGATCATGCCAAACCAACCTGATCTCCTCCTTTGAGAAGGTAACAAATTTTTTAGACAAAGAAAACACAGTGGGTCTAATTTACCTCGATTTCAGTAAGGCATTTGATACGGTTCCACATGGGGAATTATTAGCTAAATTGGAAAAGATGGGGATCAATACGAAAATTGAAAGGTGGATAAGGAACTGGTTAAAGGGGAGACTACAACGGGTTGTACTGAAAGGAAAACTGTCAGGCTGGAGGGAGGTGACTAGTGGAGTTCCTGAGGGATCGGTTTTGGGACCAATCTTATTTAATCTTTTTATTACTGACCTTGGCACAAAAAGTGGGAATGCGCTAATAAAGTTTGCGGATGACACAAAGCTGGGAGGTATTGCCAATACAGAGAAGGACCAGGATATCATACAGGAAGATCTGGATGACCTTGTAAACTGGAGTAATAGTAATAGGAAGAAATTTAATAGTGAAAAGTGCAAGGTCATGCACTTAGGGATTAATAACAATTTTTTTTATAAGCTGGGGACGCACCAGTTGGAAGTAATAGAGGAGGAGAAGGACCTTGGAGTATTGGTTGATCACAGGATGACTATGAGCCGCCAATGTGATATGGCCATGAAAAAAGCTAATGCGGTCTTGGGGTGCATCAGGCGAGGTATTTCCAGTAGAGATAAGGAGGTTTTAGTACTGCTATACAAGGCACTGGTGAGACCTCATCTGGAATATTGTGTGCAGTTCTGGTCTCCCATGTTTAAGAAGGATGAATTCAATCTGGAACAGGTACAGAGAAGGGCTACTATGATGATCCAAGGAATGGAAAACCTGTCTTATGAAAGGAGACTCAAAGAGCTTGGCTTGTTTAGCCTAACCAAAAGAAGGCTATGGGGAGATAGGATTGCTCTCTATAAATATATCAGAGGACTAAATACCAGGGAGGGAGAGGAATTATTTAAGGTCAGTACCAATGTGGACAAAAGAACAAATGGATATAAACTGGCCATCAGGAAGTTTAGACTTGAAATTAGACAAAGGTTTCTAACCATCAGAGGAGTGAAGTTCTAGAACAGACTTCCAAGGGGAGCAGTGGGGGCAAAAGACATATCTGGCTTCAAGACTAAGCTTGAGAAGTTTATGGAGGGGATGGTATGATGGGATAGCCTAATTTTGGCAATTAATTGATCTTTGACTATTAGTGGTAAATATGCCCAATGGCCTTTGATGGGATGTTAGATGGGGTGGGATCTGAGTTACTACAGAGAATTCTTTCCTGGGTGTCTGGCTGGTGAGTCTTGGCCACATGCTCAGGGTTTAGCTGATCGTCATATTTGGGGTCGGGAAGGAATTTTCCTCCAGGGAGGATTGGCAGAGGCCCTGGGGGGTTTTCGCCTTCCTCTGCAGCGTGGGGCATGGGTAGGGTGACCAGATCACCACACTAAAATAATGGGACACACTGGCCCCGCCCACAGTCCACCCCTGCTCCTCCTGGGCTCCGCCCCCACTCTGCCCCAGGTCCCGCCCCCTCCCCACTCAGCCCCCCCACTGCGCCCTTCCTCATCCCCCTGCTTGCTGCGACCCTCCTCAGTCCCCCACCCACCGCTTGCCTCCCTGCCCGCCACTCACCCCTACGGTGCTGACTTCCCTCTCCCGGGTGGGTGCTCGCCCACCTGCTGCCTCTTTCCACCCCTGCACCACCCTCACCTCGCCCCCATTCCACCCCCTTCCCCCAAGTCCCCGCCCCTGCCCTGCCTCTTCTCTGCCTCCTCCCCTGAGCACGCCGCGTACCCACTCTTCCCTCCTGGAAAGCGCTAAGCGCTGCTAAACAGCTTCTTGGCCGTGGAGGGGGGTGGAGAGGGGACACGGCACGCTGGGGGGAGGGGGAGGAGAAGGAGGCGAGGAGGGGGGAGCTTGGCTGCAATTTTTCCCTGTGGGTGCTCCAGCCCCGGAGCACCCACGGGGTCAGCGCCTCCCTCCCACTGGCCTCCTTACCCAAATATTGGGAAAAATGGCATCCCGATTGTACATTGATCGGGACGCAGGCCAAAGGGTTAAATATCGGGACAGTCTCGATTTTATCAGGACATCTGGTCACCCTAGGCATGGATCATTTGCTGATGGATTCTCTTCTGCACCTTGAAGTCTTTAAACCACGATTTGAGGATTTCAATAGCTCAGACATAGGTTAGGGGTTTGATACAGGAGTGGGTGGGTGAGATTCTGTGGCCTGCATTGTGCAGGAGTCAGACTAGATGATCATAATAGTCCCTTCTGACCCAAAAGTCTATGATTCTACCTGAAAAGTGTATATACTATTGTTACGAGTAACCTCTAAGAATACTAGAGCTGAAAGAGTTTTGAAAAAAAAAAAAAAAAAATTCTCCCAGCTTAGTTTGTGTATTCAACAGCACTTTCTACACAGTCAGTTTCACTGTATTGTTAATGATCAGCTGCATTCGTATCATGCACAACTTTGGTGCAGCTCATATACACTTCTCCAGGTTCTGCAAGAAGGCATTCACCAATAATAGAAGCAGAAAAATTCAAACTGAAGGGGAAAAATCCCACTTTCGGGGGACTCCGAATATGCTTGCTCTCAGGCCTACTCAAAAAGATGGTCTAGGTATACTTGGTCCTGCCTCAGCATGGGGGGGAAGGAGGAGGGACTAGATGATCTCTCGAGGTCCTTTTGGACCTATATTTTTAAGGTTCTATGACCCTTACAAAATACAGCAGGGGAGCAGAAACCCTACAACAATTCTTTAAAGGAATTTTCAAATAGCAGAGGACTTACTTTTTAAAAGGTTCTCCATCAGAAAGTTGAATTTTTAAAAACTGT